TCAGACCGAAAATATTCTGTGTTGTGAAATTTACTATTTTTATTTGACGTGAGAGCTTCAGGAGACATTTCATATCCGCAACGCGAACGATTTCGTGACGCAAATTGTGACTTGCCTTCGTGAAGACGGAATGCAATAATCTGTTTCGCCCAGGGCTGTTTTACTTTCCGATTATTCGTCGACGGTGTGCGACCTCAGGATGCTGAGATCTTGCGGGGTGTTTCGGACCGGAAGCTGCCATCGTCGTTAAGTGTGGAGTGCGTCCTGCGTCTTCGTCTGTTTCAAACAAAACGTGACTGAGGCTTTCGCCCTGAAGTGTGACCTTCTCACCGACGAGACATCCTCTTTCAGCTGGAATTTGAGTTGGAGTTTATGATTTCCATGAAAAGAATTACACGAAACAGTCCTTGGCGTAGTGTTTTGGGTGGAACGTACTCGCAAGAGCCCGCCACTGTCTGTCTTGAGCCACCCACTTCATTTTCCTTAAGGGCTTTCTTAAAAGGGTGTCTGTCTACGGCAGTCGTGTGCTCCCTTCCCCTCGTCTTCTAAACATAGAACTGTCTCTTCCTGTCACGTTACATTTTTTGCTACAATTTGGAGTCTGTGTTCCTCGTTTCTTCAGCCGACAGCTCAAATGTCGATTTGTATCCGATGGAGAACCTTTTTACGGCTCTAACAAGAAAGAACGAGTGCAGGCGGAATTTCCACGTTTGAATGTTCTACAACTCACTTTTTAAGTAAACCACTTGTACTGTTGATGCGTATGGTCGGTTAAATGAGGGTTGGCTTTTAATCTCGGCTGCTCACAGAATGGATGCAGAACAGCGAATTGAGGGCGATAATTTGTTCCCAGAGGAAGACATGCGACGGACGGATCACGAAATGGGTTGATGAAGCCACGGTTCGTGTATCACCATCAAGTCATCGAAAATATTTTTCTGTACGACGACTCGACCGAACCAAACAAATCTTTTTGTACAGGCACTTAAACGAGTTTACTTCAGATAAGTAGAGCCATTCCGTTTTGTCACATTTTTTTTAAAGGAAATATTTGGCGTCAGCCGGTACTTCAGAGATCTGCAATATCAGTCACGTCTTGAAGTATCGACGCGAGATTTTTTTATCTGTAACTCGCCTTTTTTTTAAACAGATTCAAAAAATCGAAGTTCTGAAATTAAGTGTTAAGGTGGATTAAACGGTGTGACGAGATGGTTTTCGTCAGATTATAAAGGCGCTTTTAGCAACGGCAAAATAAATTTATTCTGTTGTTGCGTTCTGTAAGAAACCTTAAGATGGCGTCAATTGTGAAGGCGGGGGATTACGAAAACTTCATTACATTCAGAAATATGTCGTATTATAGGCAGGGGTGTTCTGTGCCACGCCCTCCCGTGGGACGTGTGGTCTGCTCATCGCCCTACTTCGATACCGAGTGACATAAAAAGGTTGTTGTGTGCAGTGGAGTTATTTATATACAGGAGACAGTTCCACAAATTCAGGGAATCTTTGGTTCGATTCCAGAGGAGTGCACCAACCGCGCCGCTGCAGGTTGCATCTGGCGCTTGGCTCGGCGTCTCGTCTAAAAGTGCCTCGACGTCGTTCTAAATCTGTCGGTCACGGTGTTCCGCGATTTATCAACGTCAGGACCAGGAACTCGGCGTTGCTTGCCGCGGCCGTGGGTCGTCCTCTCGTCTTCAGTTTGATCCGAAAACTCGTCCTTCTATAACGCGATTGAAATAACGCGAATAAAGACGTTCGGAGAGGCAAACGACAAACGAAGGTTTGTCCAAAATGAATCTGGAACTGGAGTAGATAATGCGTGAGTTCCTCTTGAACGTGACAAGGATACGCCACTGGAAACGCTGAGACGTTATTAATTAATGTCCGTCGCTGACGGAGTGAGGGCTGCTGCTGCTTCTGTGATGACAAATGACATACGAATTCCTCAGAATGAGGCGGATGCAACCACGTAGGACACATGACCCCAGTTGACCTCATAAGTCGGAGCTGTGAGACTCACTTGGCATCCATCTTCTCCTCGTGTGGTTGGGTGTCGTAAGAACAGATATTCTCGTATGCATTTAACCCTTTGTAGGTCAGTGGTAATTATGTATACCGCCTGTCTCACGGAGTCTGTTCGTGAGTTTGAATTGGTTAAAATAAGTTCGTGTTTTCTTTGAGGTAGGAACCTCGTGTTAATGTTTAGCTTTCGTGCGTCAGAAGGGACACAGAGTCGCACAATTCCTTCATGGACGTCGGGTGTTTGTGTAACAAATTTCGAAGGAGAAGCAGAGACGAACGCCCCAGGACACAGAATGTTTCCGTCAGGTTATCGAGAGGCGAGCTTTCGTCTTGTCCCTTAAGTTTTAAGAGGGGGAGGGAACGTAAATATACCATAAGGGCGAGCAGAAATGTTTCCGTGGTCCAGGAAGCAATCTGTTGTACAAGTAAATTCAGCTAAAACTCAATATAGGAACGTGACACAAAGCCAAAATCACCAGCAGTCGTAATGCAACAAGATTGGATCAACGCTGACGGATGCAAATGAGATTGATGCCAAAATTAATGGAATGATAAACTCCGGAAATGTTCGTTATTTTCCACTCTGCAGATCAGCGTAGACGGGCAACTGTTTTCAGAGAGGTGAAAATTTGGGTTGTCGTCGTCAGGGTTATACCCTGTCATAACGAAGAAGAAGTACGTATTCACACTGAAGATGGAGGTGATGGGTCCCCCCGCTCGAACGTAGCGCGTCCTTCAGTACAGTTTGGTAACCCCTGCACTGCGTGGTTTCATTTTGGAACAGTCCGTTCGTGCGATGAAAGAAATCGTGGCGTAGTTATGGTCGGAGGAAAATTTCTTTTGTCCTCAAAGGGTTCTGATCTGCATCCCGCGTCACAACACAGACTCTGTATCGAGCCCAGCAGTGTTGCCGCACTTTGGTTTCTGAGCAGAGTCCTTCTTGAAAAGCTGACAGTTGCTCGTTTAGTCAGAGACTTCCCCGCCTGTTGTTGAACCCGAAGAATTGTCATCGTGTGTTCAAAGAAGAGCCGTATGAATACACTATTTTAATACCCATTTTAATATTATCCTCCCATTTACACTTGGGCCTTCACGACTAACATTTCGTATGGATTTTTCATATTCAAATGCGTGCTGCATGTCTCCGTCATATCATTCAACCTGATGACGCTAATAATATTTGGTGAAGGTCCTCATAATGTAATTATCTCCAGTCTCCCCTTGTGCTCAGTCAAGTTTCAGACCCCAGGTAAGGTTTCTTGGCTTTTTGTATTTAAAGTCGCGACGGTCGGGGCTTTGATTCTCGACAGCGATTATTGCCACTGGCGTGTCCACGGTCCAGTCCGGCCCCTTACCTCCATGCCCCCCCCCCCATGAGCACTTGGATTAATCGTTTTTGGCGCGAAATTATAATTTCTTATTTCTTTACAATCGGACACCTGCTATGTTGACGCCAATGTTTTACGCACGCGCCGTGTAGCTGATCTAATTTAAATTCAACCTTGTGACGTTTTAAAGTCTCAGGTTGGCAGGCGAGAATTATCTGGCGCTTTGGGGTGTGATCGGTCGAACGTCGTGAATCAGTGACCAATTGCCTCAGAGGTCAGCTTCCTCGTCATCTGGACGTACCGACGGCATTGGCGAATGCCCTCCGCCCGGCATTTGCTGTGGAGTCGCACGTGGGAAGAACGCAATTAAGGGCAATCTTCCTGACCTACTCTCGTGACATTTTAATTACACGAGGAGCAGGAGGAGGGGTCAGAACGGACGAGACGAGAGTGAATCCGACTGACGGATCACACCGAGGTTCCTCATGGGCACGAAGTAGGGGCTGTGTCTTCCTGAAAAGTAAATTTGTGTTTCCCTGAGGGGACATGACGCATGAAAGTCTATTGTTTGAGGATGCTGTGGGCGGAGGACAACGCGCCAGGCGTGTGTCAGCTTTCCTCTCTGCGGCATTTCCCGATTTCGCACGTTGTATTGAAATAGACCACGACCGCCTCCTTTCTAATTCACAACGGACAAACTGGCATGAAAAAACACATGCAGTTGGTAGAGTGTCGTTACGTAAACTGTCGGAGCGACGTGGTTGTTATGGCGGCATATCTTGCCTGGAAGAACTGGGGAAAACCTCGGTATCGGTAGGAATAAGGGGTTCGGATTATAACCAGAATGAGGGCTGCATGCTGTCTGATAATACAAACTAACTAACTAAAGAACGAAACAAACAAACTAGGACAGCCGATGATGACAACCAAAAATGAACCTTAAGGCTTTGACCGGGATGTTCTTTTGTTAAATCTTATGTGGTACCGCCTGATTCGACTTCTAATGGTTAAGTGAAGTGTTTTCTTCGCGGTACGGTCTGGATTCGTAAATATTATGAAGACGAGCTTCGGCTTCAAAGGGTTAACCAGCTGATTTTCGTAATGGAGAGGTGTAGTGTTTTCTTCGCGGTACGGACTGAATTCATAAATAATATTCAGACGATCTTCGACTTCAAAGGGTTAATAACAATTTCCAGTGTCCTAGTGCTTGTCTTGTGTTCCACTTACAAGAACATTACTTGTTTCTGAAAGAGACAGTGTAGATGAAGAGATAAGACAACTTGTCACCTGCTTTTTATTCGTTCCACATGCAGCATACAACTTCATAAATACCAGATTTGTTTACATGGATCTTGACGATGACCTGAAAGATTGTCAGAGCCTTGCGTCAGCAAACTCGTGGCGCAGAGGCCTTTGGAGCAGTTCATGTGGTCAAAATATTCTCTGACTTTTATGAAACTGGAAGGCACACCTCATCCCGAGTCCAGTCCACACGCTCGTATCGATTAAGTTGATTGCACATTGATTGCAATGACCGTATTGTCCCAAAGTAGATTCTTCTGATGATACAGAATCATCATCTGGAAATACCACAGTCCAGATTATGAAACTAAGTGTAAAAAAAAAACTCAATTATTATTTCCCTGTTTCCAGGAATTTTGAATGATGTAAAAGCTGAGTTCAACATTGGCGATGACTTGGCTGGCCTACTGCAGACTGCATTTGTGCTGAGCTACATGATTTTTGCACCACTGTTTGGATACCTGGGTGACCGCTACAGCCGCAGGCTGATCATGGCCTCTGGAGTCTTACTGTGGAGTCTTACAACATTCCTCGGTTCCTTCATGCATGTGAGTGCTGTCATTTGGCGTGGCAGACCCGATCTATTTGCATCCTCCCGTCTCCTCCTTTCGAAGTGGTGTGCTCTCTAAAATTCTGCCTGAATTTCTTGTTTCTTTCATACGCAGAAGAAAAATGTGATTTACTAGAAACTGGATATATCAGTTTTGGTAACTTCAAATATAAAAACATTTTACTTCTTTTGAAAATGCCACTGGAACTGTCAGAACTGCTGAGGGAAGTTGCAGATATTAACATCACCTCTTTCCTGGAAATTCAGTTTCTGCATCCTCTCTTCTTATCCACTTATGAATTCCTCCAGAAACTTCATGAGTGGCCAAAATGTGTTGTTTTCTAGCAGCTGAACGTTCAGAGGCACATTAAATTCTGTTCATAATGTTTATATGCAACATGCCAGGCAGCTCTGTCTTGAGAAGTTAATAATATATTCCGCAAGTCAAGAAACTTCCCACATCTTGTGGAACCTGACTGTTCATTACCACGCTCACAAGAGCCCACTGATTGACTGTGTCATGACCCCAGATGAATCCGGTACACCGTGAAACAAAAGTTAAATGTGAGCATGTAAATGAATGTAGGTACTCGGTTAGCACGCGTGTTGCATAGTTATTCATCTCCGCTCTGTATTCACTGACAGTGTTAGCTCTAGCCTAGAACGAATCAGTAGTTAAATCCACTTCTTGTACTTGTATTGAAAATTAATATTTTTTCAACAGACGTACGGGTGGTTTCTCACGCTCCGAGCTCTTGTTGGGATTGGAGAAGCCAGCTATTCCACCATAGCGCCAACCATCATCAGTGATCTCTTTGTCAAAGATATGAGATCAAAGATGCTTGCCCTCTTTTATTTTGCAATACCAGTTGGCAGGTAAGAGAAAAGATGCCCAGCGCTTCATAACAAATGTGCATGCCTTAACCTCTGCCTTCGTCGGCAAAGAGTTTCCGGATGCAAGGGCGCGTGATCTGTTTGTGGAGGAGTGAAAACGATAAGCATTCCCGTATTCTGACGGAGTACCGATGTCTGAGTCTGGCTTATTGGTAATTCAGCTTCTCCCCACATAACAATTCACCTGGTTGGTTGTGATAAACAAGAGAATGGCTGTGGTTCATTGTGTGTGTGTTGGGGGGGGGTGGGGGGTGCAAGGTGGAAGAACGTAACTACATTAGTTTTGGGACTGTGCTCCTCTGGTGTATCGACGATTTAGTGTCACTGCCATGTGGAACTTCAGTACTTTATTTCTCATTTGTTCGCAGCGGTCTGGGGTATATCGTTGGGTCTGAGATGGCACACGTGACCGGTTCTTGGCAGTGGGGACTGCGTGTGACCCCCATCATCGGTGTTATTGCTGTTTTGTTGGTCATCTTTGTTATGCATGACCCCGTGAGAGGAAACAGCGAAGGATCGCACCTCAGGCCTACTACTTGGGGCAATGACCTCAGTGAACTGTGTAAAAAGTAAGACCTTCGTCAGTCTCCCTTAGATGATACAGGCTCGTGAAACTTGTTGGGCTAATTTGAATGTATTTAAACAAAATTAATTCAAAGGTCCCTGCAGGTAAACATTTGTCTGGTGTATTTCCTCTTCATAATGGTCTGAAACAAGGAGATGCTTTATCACCACTGCTTTTGAACTTTGCTTTAGAATGTCCCATCAGGAAAACAATGCTTGCTAACATTCAGTTCAGAATCTTTTGTCTTCCCGTCTTAATTCCGCTGTTTGTGCTTGCAGTAAGAGTTTCATGTTGTCAACGGCCGGCTTTACGTGCGTGTCGTTCGTTGCCGGAGCCCTAGCTTGGTGGGGTCCAACCTTTGTGTACCAGGGTCTCAGACTACAACAGGGGTATGAGGATGTTACACTAAATGAGTAAGTCAGAAGTAAATCTTTTTAAGTATCTCGTTTAATTTTATTTCTTGTAAAAATAGCCCGTGTATGCATCGTGCATGTCTGCATGTCCGTTTTTATCATTTGGAGCAGTCGGCCATAACAGCACACAGCGTAAACTTCAGTCACCGTATTCAGCTACGTGGATTCCGTCTTCAGGGAAGTGACAGAGATCAAGCCCCATCCCAACTACAGGAAGAAGGAAGATGGTTTGTAACTGATAATAGCATGAAGGCCACTTATTCATACCCTGAAAGAACAAATGAAGGTTTCTCTCTGAGGACAAGATACGCACTTCCTCATGAAGTCCAGAGGAGTGGAACTGTGGATAAGCCCTCTTAAACCTGATGGTAAGATGTCTGAAAGAAATAGAGGACTGTACTGAATTTATTGATGAATTTAAAACATGTGGTAGTGGTATAAATTGAATTCATGAAGTTTTTAACCACGCAGACTGAAGACAGAATTGAGCTTTTACCACCAAAAGTGTCCGAAGCCACAGCGTGATATTCATTCAGGTGATATCTGTATCTGGAAGCTTGTATTTGTAATCTGTTTACATTCATTTTATCTGACACTTCATATTTTCGGCTGATAACGCTCGCGGACAGGGGACTCTAGAAAAAATGCTTCTTTGTATCTTCTCTGTTCCTTGACTGGCCATTACGTTTGTGAACGCTGCGTCCTTTGCCACTTTTGAGGTAACTGCCAGTGCAACGTTCACAGTTCTGTGCACTGAGTTGAGACGCAGAACTTGCTATGTCTTGCAGTCAAATGCTGAACCACTGCAAGTAATTTAAAAAAAAGCACTAATTTAGTTTTTGTTACAAATACAGTGATTGAAATTAACATCAGTTAGCGTTGTGTTTCGGGTTCTGTGTATTATGGCAATACACGACTGGTTTTCATGATTGTATCACAGACATTTGTCTTGGCTCTTTGTGTCATTAATTGAATTGGAACCATGATTAAAATTTGAGTAGTTTCCATTTAGTAAAAACATTCGGGGCGGAGGGGGGCAGATTTAGGTAATTTTCTTGCAATTGCATGGAGATATTGACCCATATGATGACAAGAGAAAATTTGCCTGTGAAACTGGTAAGTCAGTGACTGGCTATTTCCAGTAATGTAAATAATATATTTTGATGTAGTTCCTCGGTTTACTGCATGTACGTGTGACTTGGAGTATACACAAACCACACATTTTAACCCTCCCTCCCTCTTTATGCATATTTCTTGAACTAAGTAGAATACCAGTTCAACTCTAGGATTGAATATTATAAATATGTACTGAAGTCGGAGTTTGTATTTGCAGTGTGACATACAAATTTGGCATCATTACAATGGTGTCGGGACTGGTCGGTGTTCCATTGGGCTCAGTATTGGCACAGAGGTTACGGACCAGATTCCCTCGCATCGATCCACTTATTTGTGCCGTGGGTCTGCTCGTCAGTTCACCACTTCTGTTTGGTGCTTCCCTTTTTGCCAGCGTGAACTGCAATGTGTGTTATGCACTTATCTTCTTTGGCGAGGTTTTTCTCAATCTCAACTGGTCCATTGTAGCGGACATTCTTCTGGTAAGAGCGCATTAAATTTTGGTTATTTTATACGTTCCGTCCCCTTGTTACTGAAGTCAGAGTGAACGTGTTGATCACAGGACTCTGTGGTGTCCATTGCTTCTTCTTCAGGAACAAAGTTTATAGAACGGACCGTGTTTTGTGCATCTGTAGCCTGGTAGTTGTGAGCTGTATTTATAACAGGTGGCTGTCTCTTTGTCACTCTGCTAAAGCTTGCTGCTTATTTGTACCACCTTCTGATTTGTCTTTGAAAAATTGTAAGCCGCAAGACAATGGTGATTTATTAACAGGAGCTTATAACTCAGTGTTCTGAAATCTGCTACCGAATAAACTTGAACACTTTTACAACAAACTAAGTAATTCAGTTCTCATTATTTTTTAGTATGTCGTCATTCCTACAAGACGGTCGACAGCCGAGGCATTCCAGATACTTATTTCACATGCGCTTGGAGATGCTGGTAGTCCGTATCTGGTGGGAGTGGTAAGTCAGCACTGAAGACCTAACTGCATTTAGTGTATTTATTTTATTTGACGTAAAATGGTGTTTGCTTGTTTTTGAATTTGCTGCCATCATCAGGTTACATTGCACAGTGATCCACAGAGGTTTCCTGAACTCCATGATGGGTCCAGCTGATGTTCTGTGTTATATTTGAATCATTATTTTATTCTTTGATGGATGTGCACATCCTGTGTCTGTAAGTGTTACTACAGTTACACTTACTTCATTCTAGTACATTTACCACGTGTTACGTGACTCGGGTTACCTTGTGGAACTGATTTGAGGTTGTGTTCTTATTGAACTTTTCATTCATGCATCAGTCATTGTATGTGCTGTAATTATAATGGGACAAGAAAATTCTGGCCCTTGCCATTAGAAGTGTGCGTGAAAACCGCTTTGAAATAATGCAGTGAATATAGTGACTGATATAATTTATTTTGTTAGAATACAAGAAACATGATAACCGTTATACCTGAGATGGCAAGGAATCTTAGGGAATCATTTGATTCAGTGAGTGATTCAGTAGAAACTTGTTCGCAAGAAAGACTAGCATGCTGTTTGTTACGGAGGGCACCACGGTTGTGACTGGTGATGCCATTAATTCAAAGGTTTTGAGGCGCTGAAGGAGTAGAAAGTTGGTATAAACTTGTAAGAATACAGTCATTGTAGCTGTAGAAACTTTATAGCCAGTGTCTGGCTGATGTTAAGTGCAGGGACTATCCCACTGCAGGTCAGAGGCACTAGCATCGAGCTATTGTATTTTACGGGTGTCGTACCTTGCATTTTTTTGTTGGTTGGTTGAATTCTGTGCGTGTTCTGTGTTGATTTCAGATCTCTGAAACACTGAAGGTTGTGTTGTCGCCGTCACACTCTCCGCACGTTACCAGCTCCAATGGCTCATTCTCGCTCGCTTCCAATATAACATCAGACCCGACAAGTGATCCAGCTGTTGATTTCTACAGTTTGCAGTATTCTCTCTTCATGACATGTTTTTTTGAAGTGATTGGGGGTTTCTTTTTCCTGTTCACTGCTCTCTACATTAGCAGGGACAAATATCAAGCTGAGAAAGCCATCGCAGGTATGTCTTCGGTTAAGAAGTTACAAACTCTGTGCGGTATAATAATACTAACTTGCATATCAAAATAGAAATTAATGCATTTGAATTGATAATATAATGTTTCCAGGTGTTACATCCAGTGTCTATTTTGCATGATTCATACCCATTATTCTGAAAAGCAGCGAATGACGAGGGTGCTTTGACTAAAGCAGCAAAAGCTGACATTAAACTTATTCTTTGAAGTCAGATTTATTTTAATTAAATTTTGTAACTTCCTATTTCAAATAACAACGAGCGCATTTAAAAGCTTGGGAGACGGGTGTATATGTTGATGGATGATATTAAAATATATCTTTGAGAAATAAACTGCGAGGGTGTAGAATGTGTGGGGTTCAATGATGTAGGTTCTTTGGAACAAAATTATGAACATTGGGGTTCCATGGTCAATTTCTTGGCTTTCGGACTGATCCATTCAGATAACATGACAGGTCTCTGTACCTCAAAAAAATATAAATTTGTTTGTGATCTGTTATGTCAGAGGACACTGTTTTGCGGGTAACATTCATAGCCGTCATTTAACTTGGATGTGAACAGATAGATGAGGCAATTCCATTAAATCTGCCGGTCAGTGGACTACTGAAAAATATAATAGGATTTTGTTAATTTCATTGCATCTTTAATGTTTGGCCCAGAATTGCATGTGTTTATTAAGTATAATTTTAGTGTAGAACTGTTGTTTATGTTTGTATAATATTTTTAACTGGATGTCAGATGCTTGTTTATATCATAGGAGTAAATTGCTTCAGCATTTCCATTTCATAATCAATCTTTTGTGCTTTTCACTTATAATTTTTTCAGTTTGAAAATGTTTACAGCAAACACTGTGTGAGAAACTTATTTGAACTCTTAATTAGTCTAATTTCAGTAAAAGATTAAATTATAGAGGAGCTTTATTTTGTGGCATGCTGTGACGAAGTGGTTGAAATAATGCACGTCTTTTATTTCCTTGATTTGGGTCATGAGTAATAATTTTAGGAACATAAATACATTGTTAGGTCCCTACTAGCTAGTTTTTTGAATAAATGTGTTGGAGACATTTGATCGTTTATTTGCTTGCAAGTTCGGTGCACTGGGATCCTCCCACTGAACCACACGTTTCTGCAGCGTGGTCCCCTTTTCCTACACACGTTCTGCATTACGTTGACAACCTGAATACATCACTCTTATTCGTCCACTCTGTTCTCAACATTTTTGTTGGAGCCATGTGTTTCTTACCCACGTACTTCTCCCGTTTTCATCTGACTTTGAAGAAGTAATTTCCCGCATACTTCCTTCACCACTGTGACCTCTCACAACCCAGTTCAATAGGTTGTACTGCCTGGCAGAAACTTCAACCAGGCTTCCTGCTGGCAACGACACAGTTTAACTCAGAGATGTCTCTCCTGTTGACTCGGCTGCAGCAGCCCTTCATCTCTGTGGTGGCAAGCCAGTCTGTAACATCACTCCGCACCCTGGGCCAGCTTACACGCCAACATTCTCATCTGTAGTAAGATTTCTCCACGAGGTCGTTCCACCCGCACCTGTAACGTGTTCTTGAGATCTGCACATTTCCTCTCCTGCTGATACTTCTCCAGTGTCTCACTGTAATGTAACACTTCAGGGTTGTTCCTTTTTTTCTCTCCCTGTTTCAGTCTGTGTACTACAAAGTAGTGCTCGTTGTATCGGCGCCTGTCCGTGATGAACTGGTCTTATCTTAGAGACTCTGTGCCCTCCGTTACGCATTAATTCGTCAGACCCCTCAAAAGAAATTCATAACTTCCAAAATGTTGAAATACTCTTAACTCTTTTGCTGCTCCAACCCAATAATCAGTACGTTATATTTTATTCGTGTATCTTCTGACTACTCTACTTTGCGACCAAAGGCCTCGTGCCTTCCACCAAGTTCATTATTGCTTGTTGAATCTGTATGAGATCGTTTTATGCTCTAGCTGGTCATATTTCGATCCAGAGACGTTCACTTCCTTAATTCCTGTCGTCTCATTTCTGCGAGCTTTGTGATCCTACTTTTCACGTCAAGGTTCTTTACAAATGCAAAAATATGGTTGAACTCTACCTTGTCTTGTTGGGGCCTGGGTTCTCTTCTTCACCAGTTAACATCATCGCTTGCTTCTTCAAGGTCTTCTCGTGCTACTCCGCACTTTGCTGTGAATGGGCCAGTTCCGTAAATGCACGCCTTTACACCGACACCTGTTGCCACGTAGCCCAGACCTGCTGTACGATGATGCATGATGAAAGCATATTACCTAACGTCCAGCACGACTGATGCGCTGATCTGTGTAGGAGAGTTAAACAGAATTTGTGTTGATTAAGACTAATATTTTTGTTACAAATTGAACTGCGTTATAGAATCGTAACGTGTGATAATTATTTTCCCTTCCAGTTCGATATGAGGAAATTTAATTCAGAGTGAAATCACCGCACATGCCTGTTGCATGTCTCTGCTGTTCTCTTGAAGCTGTGTTGCATGAGAAAATCTTGCTTGTTATTTTTCTTTGCTTCCAGCTGAAGGAACTGAATTAAAAGCTCAGTTACAGAAGGCTACTGCTGACACTTAGGTTAGTTACGTTGAGCACTTCCGTGTTTTCAGTAGAGCTGTAGTTGTTGTTCTTGCAGACTGTAGTAGATAAAATGTATTGTCTTCGTTAAATTGCTTCTTTTTGTACCAGTTACTGTTAACTTGAGATAATGAACTTGATATTGAAAAGTTTCCTGTTCGCTAGGCCTTTGTCCATTGGTGGTGCATCCTCAAGGACTGACGTCTGTTTTGGAATAACCTTGGATTGAGAAGCATCATTACACACACAGAAATTTATAATCTCAGTACCGTAGCAAATAGAAGCGTACTTGTAATTTTGTGCCCTTCACTACTCGTAATACTTTGCACTGTAAGTAAGTTTCTCTTGTCAATGTTGGCCTCCTGGGTTATAATGCTGTGTGGGCTTCTACGTGCGTGCGACTTAAGCCCTGAAGATGCAGGCAGTATGTTTCTCCAAAATGCTAGCATCTGTCTGTAGGTCCAAATTGCATTATAACCCAGAAGACCAACGTTGACATTTTCACCGCTGTGAGAACCACAAGTCTCATACAATGATTATCTTACTGGAAATAATTTGTATTTGTTTTTCAAAACTGCGGAGTCACTTCTATAAAATTTGAGTTTCATGCTTCCACTCTTGTTGTACACGTTCGCATGTTACTACAAATTCTTTGTGGTGTCTGGAGGTTGCTTGTCTGCATGCATGAATGTATTGTGGTTGGTGACTGGGCGTGCATGTTCGATGTGAAGTATTTCTCTATTTATAGTTTATGTAAGGATGCTTTTTCAGTAACAGACTAATTAGCTTTGAAAGAGAGGATGACGATGAATAATGAACTGGAAAGAATGTGGAG